AGGCAGAGGTGAGGACTCTAGACTCAGAGAAAGACTGAGTGCTAGCAGCCAGGAGGCAGGCTTGCAGAATGTGACGTTTGCTTGTTTAAATTATTATATATTCCTAAGTGTTTTTGTGTATACTCTCCCCCCTGAAAAAAAAAAACCCCAAAACAAAACAAAACAAAACAGAGGCAATAGAAGCAAATACTGTTGAATAATGATGCACAGAGGAAATTGTAATCATTGCAATGAAACGATCGTGTAAAACTGATGTTTTCCAATGTAAACTATCATTCAATTTACAGTAAAAACTTTTAAAAAAAAAAAAAAGAAAGAATGAAAGAAATCTGCTTAACCCAAAGCAATAAATAATTCCACAATATTTTCTTCTACAAATTTTATAGTTTAGGTCTTACTTTTAGGGATCCATTTTGGGCTACTTTTTGTGTATAGTTAAGGTAAAGGTCTGAATTCAATCTTATTTTATTTTTGCATATGAACATTCATTTGTTCATTGCCAAAAGGGCTGTCCATCCTTTCCCCATGAATTGTCTTGGCATATAGAAAAATTACTTTTCTATAAATGTTTAGGTTTTGTTTTTATCCCTCTATTCAGTTCTTTTCTTCAAGAAATTTTTTCTTGTGCCTGACCACACGAGCTTAGTAATAAAAGTTTTATAGGGAGTTTAAAAATTAAATAGTGTAAGTTCTCCAACTTTGTTCTTTTTCAAAAATATTTAGGCTTTTGTAGGTCCTTTGAATTTCTATATAAATTTTAGGATCAACTTGTCAATGTTCACAAAAAAAGCCTGGTGGGGTTTTAAAGACTTGGTGTATAATTGTTAGCAGTGTTGAATCTTCCATTCCATGAATGCAGTGGGGTTCCCCCCCCCCAATTTTGTAGCTATTTGTAGCAAAGTTTTATAGATTTCAGATTATTCAGGCCTTGAGCTCTTTAAAAAATTTAATTTCAAAGTTATTTTTATTGCTATTGTAAATGGACTTGTTTTCTTCATGTTTGAGTTGTTTGTGACAATATGTAGAAATAGAATTAATATTTGTATGTTAATCTTGTGTCTTGTTAAGCTCCTTTATTAGTTCTAGTGTTTTTTTTTGGAGGGGGTATATTTTTAGGATTATCTACATGTGAGACCATGTCATCTGCAAATAAAGATACTAACTTCTTCCTTTCCAATCTACATACTTGAATTTGTTTAAAAAGTTACAGTATTGTGCTGCTTAGAACTTCTAGTATAAGATCGTATGTTGTTGTCATTATGTGCCATTGAGTCAGTTTCGACTCGGAGATTCTGTGCAACAGAATGAGACACTGCTCAGAGAAGCGCCATCCTCACAATTGTTACAGTGTCAGTCCATCTTGTAGTGGGTCTTCCTCTCTTTTGCTGACCTTCCATTTTACCACGCATGATGATCTTCTCCAGGGACCAATCCTCATGTCCAAAGTATAAGAGACAAATCTTATTACATTCACTTCTAAGGAGCCTTCTGGTTGTACTTTTTCAAAGACAGATTTATTTGTTCTTCTGACTATCTGTACTTTCAATATTGTTCTCCAACACCATTAATTCAAATGCACCGATTTTATCTACAGTCTTTCATATTCATTGTCCAACTTTCATATGCATATGAGGCTATTGAAAATACCATGGCTTGGGCCAGGTGCATGTTAGTCCTCAGAGTGACATCTTTGCTTATTGACACTTTAAGGAGGTGTTTTGCAGCAGATTTTCCTAATGCAATGTTATCTGATTTCTTGACAGCTGCTTCCATGAGTATTGATGGTGGATCCCCCCAAAATGAAGTCTTTGACAACTTCAGTCTTTGTTTTTCATCATGTTATTTCTTAGTCCAGTGTGAATATTTTCATTTCTTTACATTGAAGTTCAGTCCATCACTGATCTTCATCACTAAGTACTTCAAATCATCTGCAGAGCATAGAATTTAATCAATTAATCAAATTAATTTAAATTAATAAATTTAATTTAATCATCTGCATAGCATGGTGAGTCTTCCTCCAACCCTGATGCCAGGTACTTCGTCATACAATTCAGCGTCTCCGATTATTTGCTCAGTTTACAGATTGAATAAGTATGATAAAAAAAGTACAACCCTGATGTACATCTTTACTGCTTTTAAACCATAACCTATCTCCTTGTTCTGTTCAAATGACTGCCTCTGGTTTATGTGCAAGTTCCTCATGAGCACAATTAAGTGTTTTGGAATTCCAATTCTTCACAATTTTGTCCATAGTTTGGTATGATCCTAACAGTTGAATGCCTTTGCATAGTCAGTAAAGTACAAGTAAGCATCTTTTTTTATTTTCTCCACTTTCAGCCAAGATCTGTCTGACATCCTCTTCTGAAGCCAGCTTGATTTCTGGCAGCTGTCTTTTGATGTACTGCTACAGTTGTTTTTTGAATTATCTTTAGCTAAATTTTATTTGCATGTGATACTAAAGATATTACTAGATGATTTATGACTTGGTCACCTTTGAAATGGACACAAATATGGATATCTTCCAATAGCTTGACCAGGTATCTGTCTTCCAAATGTCTTGGCATGGTTGAGTGAGCACTTAGAGTATCCTACATCAATTTGTTGAAACATTTCAATTTGTATTCTGTCAATTCTTGGAGCCCTGTTTTATGCCAATGCCTTCAGTTCAAGTTGGTTAAATATCAATTCTTTTTGGTACAATGACTCTTTGTTGTCCTTCCCTCTTTTTTTGATGCTTCCTCTTATTGATATTTTGTCCACAGAGTTCTTTAATATTGCAACCCAAGACTTGAAGTCCCCGCCCCCCACCCCACCCCCCATTCGTTCAGCTTGAAAAATGCTGAGCGTCGTCTTCCGTTTTCGTTTTCGAACTCCAGTTCTGTGTTCATTTCAACGTAATCTTTGTGGTCTTCTTCAGCTGCCCTTTGGAATTTTCTCTTTAGCTATTTTGCTTCCTCATTTCTTCTGTTTGCTTTAGCTTCTCCACATTCCAGAACAAGTTTCAGACTCTCTTCTGACATCTGTTTTGGTCTTTTCTTTCTTTCTTGTCTTTTTACTGACCTTTTGTTTCTTGCTGTATGACACTCTTCATGTCATCCCACAAATCTTTTGGTGATGCTCATAAGTGTCTAATGAATCACATCTGTTCTTGAGATGGTCTCTAGAGTCAGATGTATATACTCAAGGTCACATTTTGACTAAAAATCTGGTTTGGATTACTAGCATTTCCTTACTGATATACTTCTACAATCATTTTTTAATTATCTTCAGCAAAATTTTACTTGCAGGTAATATTAATGATATCTTTATGAGAAAATAAAGTCTAAAATTTGATCTTGAACATATCCCACCTGAATTTAGAAATCATCTCAAGAACAGATTTGATGCATTACACACTAATGACTGAATTCTTTTATGGTCTTCCTAATTCACTGTTCAAAGAATAAACACATCTGTGTTGCAAGAAGTATAGCCAGAGTGTTCTTTGGAAGCCAGGATGGCCAGACTTCATCTCTCATACTTTGGACACATTATCAGGAGGGCCCAGTCCCTGGAAAAGAAGATCATGATTGGTAATGTGGAGGTTGGGACAAAAAGAGGAAGATCCCCAATGAAATGGATTGGCACAGTGGCAGCAGCAACAGGTTCAGATGTAGCAATGACTGTGAGGTTGGTGCAGGACTGGACAGTGTTTATTTCTGTTTGCAAAAGGTCACTATGAGTTGGTACTTACTCTGTGGCACCTAACAACAATAACTTTATTCTTTAACTATTTGATAGAATTCACTACTGAAGCCATCTGGGCCTAATTTTCTCTGTGAGGATTTTTTAAAATATAAACTTGATTTTTCATGAATAAATTCTTCCTAATTTGTCACATGGAGCTCTGGTAGCGTAGTGGTTACGAATCGGGCTGCAAACCTTAAGGTCAGCGGTTCGAAACTACCAGCCGCTCCGCGGGAGAAAGATGAGGCTTTCTACTCCCGTAAAGATTTATACCTTTGGAAACCCTGTACAGGGTCACTATGGGTCGGAACTGACTCAACGGCACTTAACAACAACAACAATTTGTCATATGAGCCCTGGTTTGGCACTGTAGATTAAGCACTGAATTGCTACCCATATGGTTAGCAGTTCAAGCCCACCAGCCACTGTGGAAACCCTATTTAGCATTGCTATGAGGTGGAATCAACTTGATGGCACACTATAACAATAACAATACATTGTATGACTGTTCCATTTCCAGAGCAATGAAATGGTTGTTTTTGACAGTTTTGTCTAGTTTCCCTACCTTTATTTTTCTAAGATCAGTGGCGGACCTCTTTATACAATTATACCTAGCAGTTCCCTCTCTTCCCATTAATATTCCATTTTACAGATGTAGCATAATTTAGTTAATAAAACATAGTTTTCCATTATCTAAATACATTTTTAAGCCATGTTGCAGTTAACATTCTTTTACATGTACATTTACTTACATTAAAACAGGCTTCCTAGAAGTGGGATTGTGGACCAAAAGTTAATGCAGTTTTAAAATTCTCCAATATTTGTACGAAATTAGATATTTACAAGAATATTCAAGAAGGTTCACGTTTACATATTTTGTCAGTACTCTATACTATTAATCTTTTACACTGCTGCCAATAATAAAAAAAGCAAAATTAACATTTTTATTTGCATTTATTCAATTAAAGTCGTGGTAGAAATCTTTTCATATGTTTCTTAACCATTTCTTTCTCTCTTTTTTTGAAATTACTATGTCCTTTGTTAAATTTTAATTTAGATTGGTTGTCTTTTTAAAAATCAATTTGTAGGACCTTTTGACAGTTCTTATAAATTTATAGGCCGTTTTGGTCTTTTAGTGATATTTAAACATGTATCTGTTTTATGTTGTAAATATTTTTTTCTATTCTGCCATGTTTTCTTCAAGTCACAACATGTCTTCAAATTTTAAAAAGCTTAGTGTTTTTAATTGAAGTTTTTGTTTGTTTTTCAAACAGAAAGTTGTACAAGGAATTGACTTAAACCAAATTCGAGGACTTGGATTTGATGCCACGTGTTCTCTAGTTGTTTTGGATACGCAGTTTCATCCTTTACCAGTAAACCATGAAGGTAGGACTATTCTTGTCCGTTTCCTTGGCGGTGGCAGACTGGTTTGGGGAAAACTTTGCTTGTCAGGTCAAAGGACCAAGGTGGTACCTGAGATCAGGTTTGTGTTGCTTCCCACTGGTAGTGAGGTTTACAGGTGGAGTGTTGTGAACTAGGGGGAGGAATAACATCAGAACCTGTCCAATTCCAGGAGGGATAATGGCCCGAATCAGCTTAGAGCTGAGTACTATGAAGTGGCCATCAGAGATACCTCGTCTTCCAACCCTTTTTACCAATTCTGACACCAACTATTTTCTCACAGAGCTCTTTACCTCTTTTCTACATTCCTTAATCCAGTGTAATGTTTTACACAGAATTTACAGTGCACTGTTGTTGTTAGGCGCCATCGAGGTACCAACTCATAGCTACCCTATGTACAACAGAATGAATCACTGCCCGATCCTGGGCCAACCTCCCAATTGTTGCCACGCTTGAGTCCATTGATGCTGCTGCCACTTTGCCAATCCATCTCGCTGAGGGTCTTCCTCTTTAAATGGTTTATTAAGGAAGTTACGGGGTTCACCTTGGGATCAGGATCAATAGGCTACTATTCAGAATCAGAATGAGGATCCAAAAGCACTTTAGCAAAGTCTTCCTTCTTCAGTGAAGGATGTCTCTCTACCACACAGGCTTCCTCTTGGCCCTGCCATCTGTCACTACTAGCTCTGCCATAGGGTTCCTTCTAGGCCAGTTATGACCAACTCTGCCAACTGGCTTCTTCCAGGTTGGTTGCTTCTGTCTTTACCACTGGGCACCTTCTGGACTTGTTGCTATCCTCAGTGTTATAGCCCTTGACCCCAAGTTGCAAGTTTCTTAGGAGACTCCTTGCTTCTTCCCTCTGCTGCTTTGCTTTTTGCCCTTCCTTTTGCTTATGCTGCTATCTGTCTGAAAAATCTCTGTGGGGTTGGCTGCATACAGTTTAAAGGTATAGCCTTCCCATCAGAGCCACACATTGACCAATCCCCGCTTGGTAGATCATAGGCACATAATTTGCATGGTGGTGGTGGTGGTTATGTACCTTGGAGTTGGTTCTGACTCATAGTGATCCTTTATATATTTTCCAAGACTGTAAATGTTTATGGGAGTAGAAAACCTCATCTGTCTTCTATAGAGTATATGGTAAATTTGAACTGCTGACCTTGAGATTAGCAGACCAATTTGTAAGATACAAATGTTTCATTTACATTGCCTGTTTGCCAATCCTGCAAGGCGCATGACAATATCAGGGTAGGCTACATCCCAATACCATTCAAAAAGTGCTAAACCATAAGCTGTTTATAGCTTACCCAGGAAATGTCAGTCAATCCGGACAAAAATAACAATTCCTCTGGGGTAGAATACTAGGGCATTGGTAACTCCTCAGGGCTTAGGGGGGAAATTTTTTTTGTTAAGCCGTTTTCCCTACCAACTAAGGCAAAAGGTCACAGAAAGGAACTCATTTCACCACAAGTATGGAGGCCAAAAGTCACAATCCGGTGGTTTGAGTGGGAAGTTAGGTGAGGGAGAGTTGGCTCCCAAAGAGCTAGAGTTTATACCCAGTGAAGAGGGGAACATGGAATCTGTAGCTCAGAATGAGTAGCCTTGACAAGTGGTTTGGTGTGTCCTTGGAAGGTAGCATCAATGCTGATACGTACTTTGTGTGTGAAACTCCTGTCCTGTGTTCATTTGAGTGCATGAGCCAAACTTATTTAAAGGGAACAGAACAAAGTAGAGAGGACCATGTATTCCCACAGCTTTTGGAAGCAGATGGCATGTATGCATCCTAAAGCCAGACAAAAGGACGTTCTTATTTTATCATGTTCTAATAGACACTTGCGACTACTGTACTGAGCTGTTTTAAATGTGAAGTTTCATTAGGCCTACCATCAGAGATTTTTCCTGATGGATGAGGATGTGTTCTTTTACAGGAGTTTTATTCAGTACTATTAGCACTGGGGTTCCAGACCTAAAAGTTAGCATGAGGAGTCCCTGGGTGATGTAAATAGTTTCAGTACAAAGCTACTAACTGAAAAGTTGAAGGTTTGAGTTCATCCAGGGGCACATGAAAGGAAAGGTGTGGTGATCAGTTCCTGGAACACCAGCCACTGAAGACACTATGGAGCACAATTCTACTGTGACACACATGGGGCTGCTATGAGACAGAATCAACTTGATGACCACTAGAAAACTGGAAATACGTATATGTGGCACTGTAGGATAAGCCCTGGACTGCTAACTCCAAGGTCGGTAGTTCAAACCCACCAGTAGCTCCTTGGAAATCCTATACAGATTCACTGTGAGTCAGAACTGAGTCAGCAGCACTTAACGAGAACATATGCATGGAATAGTATAAAAGTTAACATTCTTTAGACAGGTAATGTAAATGAATGAAGTAGGTGCACTTTGAGAAAAAGAATAGTACATATCTGGAGATACATTCCAACATTTAACCTTCTAATAAGCAGCAGCAAAAGGTGGAGGAACTCTTGTGCACTGGAACTTGTGTGCTCTATCTGAAAGGGGTAGCTCTACACACTGACAGTTGTTACGAGATATAACCATGTTTTGGGTTAAGATTATGGGTAAGAACCCTTAGTTGTGACAAGGGACTCATTTCTAAAATATATAGGAAACTATAACACCTCTATAAGAAAAAGACAAATAACCCAATTAAAAAATGGGCACAGGACATGAACACACACTTCACCAAGGAAGAGATCTTGGCAGCCAACGAACATATGAAGAAATGTTCACGATCACTAGCCATTTGTTGTTGGTGTTATGTGCCGTGGAGTCAGTTCCGACCCATAGCGACCCTGCACAGGATTTCTGGGGCTGTAAATCTTTACGGGAGCAGAAAGCCTCATCTTTCTCCCACGGAACAGCTGGTAGTTTTGAACTGTTGACCTTCTGGTTCGCAGCCCGATTTTTAACCACGATGCAAATCAAAACAACAATGAGATATCATCTTACACCAGCAATAACAGCAAAGATCAAAAAAGTAGAGGGCAATAAGTGCTGGCAGGGATGTGGAGAGACTTAAACACTCTTGCATAGCTGGTGGGATTGCAAAATGGTCAGCCTCACTGGAAAGCAATATGGCACT